GCTGACTGCGTATGATTGTGGATGCCCCTTATAATATTACAAATAAATAAATTATAAACCATTCATTGTATCAATATATTCAAACGGCCTTTCGAATAGGGTAATCCTGCAATAGCTTTATTCATTATCGTTTTGGCTCCCTTTAGATTTGGTCAAGTATTCTGCCCTTTTTAATGTTTTATTTATAATAAATTCATATCTATATTTGTAAAACTGTTATCATAGAGTGGCATGCAATTCACTTGAATTGTTCTACTGTTGTTGAGTTTACTTACCTTCCATACATCACCAAAGTAATTAGTAGTATTACGATAATAACGAGGGGTACTATCACACCCCCTATCACAGCCCCTAGTGTTCTCCTGGAACCATTATCACCACCTTTAGCACAACAAAACAACATACATGTAATTATGCTGTAATGAGAAAAGTCTAACATGAAATAATAGAAAATATCAATATACAAATGATAATTGACATATATAAACAATAAAATTGCGAGAGTTACACAAGTAAAGAAAAAACTAAACAAGTGATATACGAATACAAACATGTGATTACAACACATTCATAACTACTTGACATTTCTGGGGTTTGGCGTATAGTGACCAACGATTCCATGTACAATGGAACTGTTTTCGTAATTACTTTAAATGTGAGGACACAATACTGGTACTACATTCTTTGAGCACCCTCCCCATGCTGTACAGCAGTAGTTGATATAGGATTAAATAAGGGAGTAATACAGATTAATAGGGACTTTATGACTTACCCATTATTTATTCGCCGTATATATCCAATAGAGCGTGATATTTTACAACAAACATTTGAAATAGGATTTGACCTTGACAACTGTGAGTATAATGTCACTCCCAAATATTTTGTAGTATCAACATATTCAATCAGTTTATTTTTATATTTCACTGACAAAACTTTATTATACAATTTTCTTTTAGAGCCAAAAGCACTGACCTCAGCTTTATCCGGGTGTATATGCATGTCATTAATTTCAAACCATTTATCAATAAGATCATAATCATCTTGTAAATTAATCTTAACTTGAGTAAAATAAACATTATTATTAAATATAAATGTATCACCTGCATAAACATATATTTTTGAGTGTGAATGCAGATTCAAATTACACGCATCATTAATGAATAAGCAAACAATGAGAGGGTCGAGAATTGATTCATGCGGTACCCAAGTTTGAACATGTAAATATTCGCTATTGCAGCCTTTAACGACAACACAATAATTTAGTGCATTTTACCCGGTCCCCAACATAAAAAAATCCTCTGTACGACCATGCATTATGGCTTAAAGCATGAGCACACAGAAGATTTTTTTTCTGTTGGGGACCGGGGGGAAATTCAATGAATTATTGACAATTTATTGCACTTTCTTTTTTATTTTATTTGTGGAAACTGCCCCCTACCCTAGCCCCCGCTGCGTACAGTCATGGTTCAGTGGAAAAGCAATGGCCTAGTGACTGTGAGGCCCCAGGATAAAAACCGTGTCGATGTGCTTTATAAGTGCCCTTTTGTGGGGCATTAATCCTCATTACTGTCATGTATGACTTTAAGGGCGTAGGTCCCCTAGTCGATAAACATAGTAGCATACACATGCTTTAGCAGTCACGCAAAACAAACACTGGCAAATTATTATTCAATAAAATCTGAGAATGTATACTATTTTCTAGATCTATTAGGAATAAATCCTTGTCAAAATAATTCCATAAATTTGGTTAAACATTATTTTCCAACTTTATGAGCAACAGTGTAGATTATATTCCATAAATTACAACTTTTCTTATCGTTTCATAAAGTCTCACAAAAAATTGTAACAAAGAAATGTTTTAGAAAAATGTATACATTCCATTTCTCCTTATACTAAACTATACAAAATTAAATGCAGACTATTCAACTTTCTCAGCCAATCAAACAGAAAATAAGGCGTAATATTAGGATTAATATGTAAACAACGCTGATAAGCTACAAACTTATAAACATAATTATGAAGGTCACAAACTTACTTTAGTTTGACATGTAGCTAGTATATATTTAATAATAAAAATAATACATGAGATTTGTAAGGCGCGTTATTCTCTTGAAATCAAATGCTCAAGGCACACTTGTATGAAAAAAGGAAAAATAAATCGCGCAAAAAGCAAACGTATTTGGAACAAAAGAACAGGAGTAATATAAAAAATACGAAAATAAAGGAACAATTAATTAAATGCTGAAAGCATTTTACTTCTACATCCTTTAAAATCCCACATTACCTACGATGTTTTCAAGTATAACATTCAGGGTAGAACAAGTTTCATTTGTTGCATGCTCTTACCTGAGAGGATGGTCTTTGCATTCACTGATACGGACCAATTACTAAAACCAGCTCCATTGAGAGTTTGGACCTGACAAACATGGAAAAAATAATATTGTGTTGTAGTAATATTGACAATACAAACATCGTCCACACACAAAGGAATTATTTAAAGCTAGTAAGTCGTGGCTGCACTTAATCATGAGATATTCTAGTCCGCGAGAAAATACAATCTACAATCATCATAAGCGTCCTCATACGAAAGTTAATTTTTAGATGCCTTTAAAGCATTCAAATGTAATTTATTTTAATGCAGTATCATGCATGTAATCGGAGATTGCTTGCTACATAAATGACACAATTAAAAAAAGAGAATCACTTTGTCATTTCATCCCAAAGTATATAGTTTCTCTAAAAGCGCTTAGGATAACAGCTCAAACTAAAATGTTCTTAAAGGTAAAAAAATAAAATGGAAGCTCTTATTACCAATCATGTGAAAGACTATGTTTTGAATATTACATGACGATACAAATTTTGACGGGAAACCGCCTACTAATTGATATATTTGGTAAATTAGTATATCTCTTGCCTGTTGAGAGATACAAATGCACGTGTCGCGCACGTGTGTGTAGTCCCATGTACATCTTTCTGTGTACAGTGCTTCTAACTTTATGAAGACTTGGCCAAATTTCTTATAATTTTGATGATTCCAGAACCTTGCAGAACATCTATGCTAGATGATCAACCTTTTCTGATCGATTTCACAACGCTTCTTTCACTATGCAATTGCATGACCATAACTAGTCTTTAGCTTTAATAGGGAAAGCTTGTACTAAAATATGAAGAGAATGAATATTCCCTTAAACGTTGGGTCCTAAGGATTGATGTCGAGACATCTATACCTGAACTGTATAATTGATTTCACTGGCCAGGTCCATCACAGTATGTTCCACATCAAATGCACCAGTCAATTCTTCCTCCATCTTATAATTGCCATCACCAGCTGGATCATTTCGCTTGTAGCGGATGATATATTTCTGGATGTTACCATTGATGTTAGATGGTAGAGGGGTAGACCAGGATAGAGTGAAGGAGCTTGTAGTACTCTGCAGTATAGTCACATTGATAGGAGCAGGCGCGACTGATTAGAAGAAAATGGTTTATAACAATGTCATGCTGAAATATGGTAGACTTATGTATTGACATTCCGGAATATCAATTACTTTTGTTACTCTCGTTTTAATAGGTTAGTACAATGTCTAATTCCAGAAAAAAAATCTATTTTAATTGCAATTAAAGCGACTGTGTTTAAAATTACATTGGGGTTTGAATCACAATGAAAATGTAATGACATTAAGGAAATAGTAATCTAATGCATCAAAGAGTCATGTATATGATTTATATTGTGCAGGCAAAGTAATTTAGTATACAAGCACTGCTAAAGATATATTTACAGATTTCATTGCTCCCGATATCCTCTGATATCTCACGTGCTGGCCCGTACTCCACTAACATCTAACCCGACGCTGGAATTAAACATACTCAGAAATTGAGTTTAACAAAGAAGTTATACCGAGGTCTGATTCTAACAAACTGTAGTCCTCGAGTTAAGTTTAATGAATTAGCAGTATACGAACCATACAGTTTGCAATTTAGCAGAATGAATTATTCTCTCTCTATCAAGATCAATTAAATTTGTAGATGAAACTGGTGGTAATGAACCAAAAGTAGTATTAACCGAAAAAAAAACCATGTTGGACGAAGGTTGTAACAAAAATATTTACAAGAATATTAAATGTTTCACTTAAAAAGCAAAGCAATAACTCCCTTACCCTCACGAAAAAATACATCCTAAGATTAACACCAACCTTCTTCAAGTGTTTTGCTCATAGTCTCACTGCTTTTGTCACCCTCCTCGTCTTTATTTAATGCAGTCAATTGAATGGTATAGTCCAGATAGGTGTCTAACCCTCTTATCGTGTAGGAGCTAGTGTCACGAAAAACTAGGATAGAGTTTGGAGAAGTTGAACCAGGGGGAGCGTAGTAGATCATATAATGGGTCACTCCACTCCTGCATTCTGCTGATTCCGACGGGAGGTGCTGAAACATTAAAAAGCAAATTCATGTTACATGCAGCACATACTTTCACACTAATAAACAAAACTATGAGCCGTTATCTTTTTTTTTTAATCTACAGTTTTCGCATTAAAGGGAGCTGCTATATGGTCCTGCTAAACAAGATTCTCTTGATTACAAAACATTTTTGTACTTGCTTCCTTCTGTAAAATAAAATAAAAACTCAATTTCATAAGCCCAACAGCTCTTACTTGCAACTAGCAAACAAAACAAATTGGTGCTATTTAGATGTTTTATATTTTTTTACACAAGATCTATTTAATTTAGTCAACTGGTGAGGTACGTAAAGAAATATTCACATATAGTCAGTGGCGTGGAGGAGTTCTTATTTGACATATCTTGACTAAAAAATAGGTACAATTAAATCTTAATAAGGTTGTAAGTGTTTTTACCAGCGTCATATCACATATAACGGTGCGGTTCTACCTGTATGTAATAAAAAATATGACTAGTAACATTTATACATTTTGTGCTCTGGACGAGTCTTTTCATCCAACTGCATTTCCTAGAAGCGACCAAACAGCTACTCTTAAAACAGTTCATACCTCCCATGTCACATCTAGCTCTTTAGGGTTGATGGCTGAAACTTGTAGTCCAGTTGGGGAAGCACTGGGTTCTGAAGGTTTAAAGTATACACAAGATACTAACTGACTTGGACCTATAGTAGATGAATACATCACATGGTCATGCACGTCATAGTAAAATCATGCACTGCTTCTACAGGTACCCTTCATGTAGTTTTAGATTAAAAGTCGAACATGAAACTACCGTTGAGCCAAACACAATGAAGGGTATAATTAACAAATTGTAGAAGAAATTTTCGGTGTCACAATTTACAAAGATAAAAAAAAAATAAAAGAGAGAATGTATGGAATATCTAAAATACAAACATCTCTTTGTACAGACTTTACTAAAATAAACTAGATAAGTAAACCATTTCAATGGAAAGTGCATTCAATCAATGAAAAGTGCATTAGTATCCCAAATGTACATCTAAATGTACAAATCAATTACTAAAACGCAAAAACAATGTACCTGTAAACAAATGTATAACTCCAACCCACTCAAGTATTTTTCTTCTGAGCATAACTTACTTCTACAGAGAGTTATTGTGTCGCTCCTAGGAGACCCGGGTCCTGTTCCACCTGTTCCTTCCCTCACTGCTGCTACACGAAACCTGTAATCTGTGTCGGGTGTCAGGTTACTAACGATGGCTGATGTTGTGGGTTGCTCCACTCTCTGATCCGCTACCCAGTCACCATCATTCTCTACAAAGACATCATATCCTTCAAGAGGAGGATCACCTAGGCCATCTTCTTCAGACCATGCATTCCATCGAAGACCTACTGTAGTTGACGTAGTACTCACTATCACTGGTGCTTTTTCTATGACTGGCAGAACTAACAAACAGGGAGAAAAAAACAGAAATAGTTAATATAATTGATTAAAATAACCGTCAAAATTAATGACACACTTGTATACGAGCAGTTCTTCCATCAATTCAATATGTAAATAACATTTACCAAAGTGCATAAGAACACAAGAAAACTAACCATATAACTGATTCGATCGCCGGTAACCCTGTATAGAGACAGTGTGACTGAGAAGTATTCTGTATTTAGAGAATCGAATTCATGCTTTCTATGACACATGTATCTCACAAAAGTACATTAGAGTGAAGCAATGTCACGCAGTTTGCTCACCATAGGTTGCGTTGGTAATAGGCGTCCCGGGATGGCCTACACCATCAACATTAAGAACGCAAACGTATTCCCCATCTTCCTGTGGATACACACTATCAACATCAAAGACAACAGCTCGTTCTGACCCTGAGACAGTGCTTGATCCCCTGGTGATTCCTGTTGTGTTATAGGTGCTTCCAGTACGTCTGTAAAGATTAACTGAGGATGCACCAGGAAGTGGGATACCCTCCACATAACATGTAAAGCTAGATGGTTGGTATAGATTCACTCTCACTGGAACTAATCTAGATATTCCTGTCAAGAACCAAGTAAAGATATGAAACATTAACTAAAACACATCAACAAACATTCAGAAAGGTCTTGCCTTATGTGTTTAACTTACAGTACATATGGCAAACAAATCCTATATGCAATTTTTAGAACATCAATCAATCATGATATTAAAAAAAATAAAAGCATGGATTTTTTTCTCTTAGAAAGAATGACCAATTACTTATAATTTTAAAATCCCTGTCACAAACCAAGCAATCTTACAATCCAGTCACTTCATAATTGTATCACGAAATAAGCAAATCATAAAAAAGAACAACATCAAATTTGCACATGTACATACAGGTGTACCTAAACAAGGGGAGATATCCATCTGATTATATTGGTTAAAATCCAATTGCGTGATATATATCAATTCAATAGTCCTGGTATGCAAATCACACATGCTTTATGCAACTGCTGTTTGTACTACACAGACCTCCCAATGACCGATAATCATTTCAAGAATTTTTGTGTGGATCTATTCACTACGTGTATAGGGCAGGAGAAACGTCCTTAAAATATGAAATGGACTTCATAAAGAGAACAACACAAAATAGTTCGTAAAGGTCATTGGTCATTTATGTAGCGCCGGTATCTGTCAAGTGCTGACACTCATTGAGCGCTCAGGTAAATTTGCTTAAATTAAAGTAAGGTAAAAGTACTTGCTCCATAAGCCTATTGAGCAAGATTGTGAATTACAGCGAAACGTAATAAAATACATGCACACATAGTTTTATATGCAATCCGAGGTGTTTTCTTTAATCTGAAAGTTTTTCAGCAGAAGAAGAAGACAAACCAGATCACAATATGCTAGGTATAATTACTTTGACTGCAGTAAGGTTCAATCCAGCTATCTATGCATTGTCCCTTACAAAGACCCCTCTCCATCTCACAAGCCTCTGGAGCACAATGACATTGCTGAACACAATCAAGACCAAAGGTACCCCCTTCACACTCTGAAAAAATAAAACAAAAGACATGTTTATTGGAAACATCTGGTCAATGATTATCATTGATTACTAAAGGCAAAGATAACTTTGGCTTGGGTCTACTGCAAACAGGGTTGTAAACACAAAAATCTAATTATTTCAATCAGGTGAAACGAGAATATTTTCTTCTGACTCATGTGACTGTGAGTTAGTTTAATTTAAGAAGTGAAGGTCCATTACTACTAGAAATCTGTTGCAGCCAGCAGTTCAGGGACCACCTCTAGATCTGCTATTCTCTCGATTACTACTTTCAGGTGGACAACCAACCATGCTGGCTGCAACTCTGCAATCTACAGATCTTTCCCCCTCTCTCACATATCTCTCTCTCTCTCTCTGCTACAGAATACAGCTGAGGACAAAATTCCTGGGACAGTTGTTCCGGGCTGTATTTCATCAAAGGTGTTCGTTACGGTTCGGGTTGCAATTGGGTTTTGGTTAAGGTTTAGGGTTAGGGTTAGGTCACTGTTGCTTCAAGGGTCGAAACTAAGAACTTGGTTTGTGTAGAATGACAGGAAACGAGTATCGTACAACAAATAATGACTGCTGATTTTTGAGGTCATAATTTAATAAACTCTTGAGGCAGATTCAAGATTACCTTGGCCAACAGTTTCAACATGCATGCTCCTCAAAGCAGTCTATATTCGTATACTTGAATCCTCCTCCGGAGTATACATTTTAATAATGTATTTACTATCGCAGCACTACGTACATTTATGTGCTTGATATGACCAATGCACATACATGCATTTATGAGTGTTCATACATGTAATTATGAGTGTCCATACATGTATTTATGAGTGTTCATACATGTAATTATGAGTGTTCATACATGTATTTATATAACAGCTCATACATGCATTTATGAGTGCTCATACATGTGTACATAAAACAATCCTGGTGTATGATGCACGCTGTACCATACTTGATGTACATAGTGTATGTAGTCTGGAGATAAAGTAATTGGAATTGATATGTAAACTTGAACACCCTTTATAGTATTTTACCTTGACATTGGACCTGGCTACTGCGTACTTTGTATCCTAGAGCACACTTCTGCTCAGGGCACTCTCCAGTATCTTTATCACATGGTTCATCATTCAAGCAATGACATTTATCAGTGCATTGAGATCCATAGTAACCGTCTACACATTCATCTGGAACTGGGGATGATAAAAAATATTTTAGAAATCCCAATTCAGCAATTATTACTAGTAAATAATAGTAGATGTACTTTACAAAAAATCAGATTGCTTCTATTGCAAAAAGTCTTTTCTTTGCAAACTTTTAATTTTAAAATTGTTTTCATTTGAACTAGTGATTTAATTTTTTTCTTTGCAAAATTGATTACAATTATTACACATAATCTTCAATTTAACAGAGCCTTCACTAGTTAAATTCATGTAATCATAGAAAGCATTCAGCTCCTTAATAAACGTGAAAATATTTTACACAAGGAGTTGTCCACAAACCACTACTTGGTGTGGGTATGTCTACGAAAATAGAAAATATAATAACCTCAAGTGATAATATAATTGTGAATGATCTTATTCAAAATGGGTAGAATACAGGCGCCCATAGTCCTGTAGACAATTTGGTTAGACAATAACAAAAGAACAACAATTACATAGCTACATGCAGTGTACAAGTACAATCCTGATTTATCTTACTTTTCAGTAAGACGGCATTTTTGTCATATCATTTGTTATCATTGCTGACCATGACTTACTTTGACAGTTGTCCCCAGACCAGCCAGTCTGACACTCCCCTGCACATATTCCACTATAGATGTCACATGATGAACCACCGCCTGCACAGTGACATGTCTGAGAACATCCTGGACCATATGTACCAATGGTACATACTATAAATATAATTTAAAATACAAAATCAAGATGGACAGATACAATACATTCATCAGAAAGAAAAAAATATTGTGCATGTTACAATAGCTTCTTATTATAGTTATCTTATTTTCCTCCTCCCTCTTCTTCTACTTGTCTTTATCCTTCATCTTCTCTTACTTCTTCTCCTTTGTCGTCGTCTTCTTCTTCTTCTTTTTTTTCCTTCTTCTTCTTCTCCTTCTCCTTCTTCTTCTCCTTCTTCTTCTTCTTCTTCTTCTTCTTCTTCTTCTTCTTCTTCTTCTTCTACTTCTTCTTCTTCTCGTCTCCTCTGAGTTGCCCCTGACTTCTCTCATGTCATGAATCCAGCTACATTATGGTATGTGCTTTTGATATTCCAAGAAATATTACAATTCTCTGAGAATTGCAGATGTACATGTATGATAACTTTTAGGCCTCCTAGATACATGTATGTTTCACTATTTTGAGCTAATTTGAGCAGTTAATATAATATTGAAGACTTACGTGTGGTACATGCAAGACCATGGGCACCGACGTCACATGAACATCCATAAGGATCAGGTAGGCAAAAAAGAAACCCATGACATTTTGTGAAAGGATCACTGGTACTCTTTGTACATCGAAACTCGCAGTTCAATCCAAATCGATTTCCACCATCATCTCTACAAACTGAAGAACAAAAATAGTTGCAATGTTGTAACGAAACCTTACAGACTTGCATAAGAAATAAGATTTCATGAGATAAATTTCTCCTTTGCGAATTACCGATGGTGTCTAATGCTCTTTAAAAATAATATTTGTTACTACATTGAATAAAGCCATCCCATATCATGGATAGCAAATTTGTCGATCATAAACATTAATGTTATTGAGACATTTATTTATATACTATTTAGATATTTTATATGGTATTAAGGAATAACAACCAAAGCAAATCTTTTCCCTGCTGTTTATTATTTTTCATTCATTTTTGGATTGATTCACTTGATTTACAATGTATATATAAACATTACATGAACATGTAGAATGAACCACAGCTCTGGTAGAGCGGGACACTTTACAAAGTATTTACAAAGTCATTTTACTGCTAATAAATACATGAGAGATAATATATTATAACAAATCAGAAATCTACTTGTTATAAACAGAATCATAAATGATAAATCAACATTATTCTTTCAAATAATTCCTGGTAAAATGAAGATTTACAAGTACATATATTGGAATGTCGTCCGGTAGAAGAAAGACATATTTGAAATTGAACATGTAGAATAGATGTACATTACCATTTTCTATGGAATAAGACAAGAATATCTTCCTCAATTCATTAAAAAAAAATCGATACCAGTATCCGCCAGGCTCTGACGCTCATGGAACTTTACACATATTACCCTGGTTATAGCCGAGCTGCCAGGTAACTAGCGCTTATAACCTCGTAACTATATAGTTGTATATAGTAACCAGTCTCATTTTAATATTATACACAAAATTATTTATAAGATTTGGAAACCCATCATATATTTTTTAATTAACTGTATTTTAGGCTTTAGATAACGAGAGTCAGACTCGACTAGCACATGTGCTATTTTCGACTCTATTTTACCATCGATCACAAACTCATTGTAAATAGTCATTTATTGTTTTACTCTTGAAGCAAAGTTTACTTTATCTTTGTCATAATGTACATGTATATTGCTGTAGAACATGTATTTTTCTATAATTCATGTCATGCATTTATGTTATATTGACATTGTCATTGTACATTTATCTTTTGTTTCAATGTTTTCAATGGTGGTGAATAAATAAATTCAATTCAATTCAATATTAAGAGATAAACATCATTCAAAATGAAGTTCTACAGGCCTACTTACTTTCTAAACAATTCGGTCCCTTGAAGTTGTTAGGACAGATACATAGACCAGACTTTTCATCACAGACTCCACCATTGTAGCATTTATCACAGATACCATAACACTCAGGGGGACCCCACTTACCAGCAGGGCATTCTATCGGAGAAAGAGAGGGAGAAAACTAATTAGTATACATGTCACTAAAGATTACATCATGACACAGATGAACAAAAGATAGAAGATAAGCAGGGGAATATCAAACGGAAGATAGCTGCTCTGTCACATTCTGAATATACATACGGGTCATTTTAAACAACCTTTATTACAAAATTCACATCGCAGATCATGAAATGCTTACACCTGAATGTTTTCATTTGAAGTTGTATAAATCTTTTGAAATGAAATTTGCAATGGGGAAAAAGCTGTCCATCTTAGGATAACACGCCATCAGAGAAGATCAGACTTGGACATTATCTACCATAATGATCTAAACTACATTTGTTTTTAAGGTGTTCACATTCATTTTTTTGATTAATAATAAATTGTAAATGAATATGTAAAGCTCATTATCCACATGTAACTTGCATAATAATTCAATTAATCTAAAATAAAGATTTCTTGGCAAAATATGAAGCAATGCCTTGTACATGCATCATAACAAACAACGTAATATAATACGAAATTTCCCCTCTTCTAAGAAGCCCAATCTGAATTAAGCAGGAAAATATTTTAACATGTACCTCTGACGATGAGTCTGTATAGTCCTCCTCTATTTTGACTCCTCTCGTTATCATAGTAGATCTCATAGATTCCTTGGTCTGATGTCTGGATTGGGTTTTGGAAGCTGATATGAGTCTGCCCATCAAATGATGTAAGAACCTCACTTCCATCTTTCATCCAAGTAATCACGTTGCCATTCGCATCAGGACTATAACGACTAGTCATGCTGATCATCACTCCGGTGTCATTCACATTGACTGTCTTTGTAAACAATTCATCACTTGATATGAATTTAGCTGTTAAAAGGGATGATAATAATAAATTAACAAAATAACAAAGGTTAACTTTAATACATTTAACATACATGTACATGTACATGGCATGTGCAATGTAGCCATTTACTCACTGAAGGAAACAAAACATTTATATAGGCCTTGCATACATGTACATGTATATTGAAATATATATAGACAAATATTTACTTGCATATTGGAATAAATTTGTTCCTGTTCATATTTTTCAATAATAAGTTTAGATCATTTTGAATATTATAACATGGCCGCAACTAGTCTGGTGTATATCAAAATCTGTTTGGACTTCTGTTTGACAATGTTAATGTTACTAAACAACATCAACATAAATGGGTATGTTCAGGCTTAACGCATTACCGTGCATCATTTGTTTATGATAAATTTTTGAAACTTCTTGTGCTATTCTTAAAAGAATCGTACTCTGGTATTTTCAGATTTATTCTCAGTATATATTTAAAAAGCATCAAATCTTTGTAATAGCCATTATCAAGCATTAAATGTTCAAAAGCATCGTAAGCAATGAATCACTCTCACTCCTGATCCTCAGTAAACCGTTTTGCGGTATAAACGCTTCTTTCAAAAAAAAAAATCCACAGTACCTTTTTTACACTGCAACCAAAATGTATTGATTTTTCTTACTTTCCGGTGTTTCGCCCAAAACACGAAGAAAAATCTAAATCGAAAAAATCCTCCCTTGGGGGGTGTTTCACGAAGACTTGGAATTGAACTACGGCAGGCCATTCATGAAAATGGTCGCTCTCACCATTGGTCTCTCAAGGGACTTCACAAATCTACAGAATTTACGTTTTGTGATCGTCCATTGTTGAAGAAAAAGAGTTTCTTACATTGTCTATATTCAAGACTTGGACTTACTACTGCA